CTTGAGCATAGAGTTTAAATAATCAAACTATAGGAGGTTCTTGTTCAAATGCCACCAATTAAAAGACATAATGGAACTAACAAGAAAGTGCATATTCATTGCCCATAAGTCATCATAACATGAGTAAAGGATGTCTGTCTTAGATAGTTTCTGTCAACAACAGTTTATAAGCTCTCTAATTATGTTTAAAGTTGTTTACATGTTTGGTCTCTTGCAATACTGTTTTCAAAAAACTGCTGATCTGTAACTTTTATATCATAGAGCTTATTACATCTCCAATAACCCTTAGTAATAACAAAGTAAAAGATTAGAATAACACTTAACAATTTAAAAGTTATATCTTTATATAATATCTCTTATTCCTCTTCAAAATGTTTTTTTGTTCATGAATAAAATATCAGCTATATTTTTACCAAACATGTCAATAAACTAATATATCTTATAAGCTAATATTACCAAACAGTAGCCAATATCCGCCTTGTTTAACATTACCATTTATCTATAGGCACCCTATACCTGCGCACATACATATTTACTTATCCACCCTTGTTCTGTAGGTGGAGTAATTTTTTCTACTCCCTATTTACCCGCTCCATCAACCAAACCCGAAACCTACTCCATTTACCCATCTGTTTAATTTAAACCTTATTATTCGAATCAATATAAAAATTTCAAAATGTAATAATAACATTTAATGTCCAACACTCTACTATATTTATAAGGGAAAATAACTAAAAAGTATATGGCCTATTTGGGATTAATTGGGTAATGGATAGCTTAATAAAAGAGGAGACCTGGGCATGGAGAGACATCCACAAGGATAAATGCTACAACAAGAATCTAGACCTTATCCCTCTGGTTACCTTATAAATTATCTGGAAGGAAAGAAATAGAAAGCCTTTCAAGGAATATAATTTTCTTTTGGTAGAATCAAGGATGTTTGTCTCCAGACTCTAGGTTTTCTGACAAAAAATCATTCTCTCTATACTTTTGGAGGATTTACAAGATCTCTTGCAATAGTGTTTAAAAAAACTGTTGATCTGTAACTTTTATATTATAGAGCATATAACATCTCTGAAACACATTAAGTACTAACCAAACAAAAGACTAAAATAACACTTAAAAATTTAAATATATATATATATCGTTATATATAATATGTTATTCCGATTACTAAAGTGCTTTTTTTGTTAATGAACAACCCAACTTATAAGCTATATCTTTACCAAACATGTCAATAAACTAATACAGCTAATAAGCTCATCTTTCCAAATAGCATATCCATCCCATTTAACATAACTCTTTATCCCTACTTGCTACATGCCTAGGTAGTTACATATTTACTTATCCACCCCGTCCTGTGGGTAATGCCCCCACGAACCCCCTCCCCCCCAATCAACCAAACCCGCCAACATGCTTCCTTTGGCCATCTATTTTGTTTAAACAATATTTAAAATTAACCATTTTATATTTAATAAGAAAGTTATATTTCAAAAAAATATTTAATAATAAACCATTCAAATCAATATAAAATTGAAAACGTAATAATAATATTTGATGTCAACAGTAATTATATATATAAAAGTAATAAGGGAAAATAACTAAAAGATATATGGCTAGTCTTCTGGGGATTAATTGTGTAATTGCTGGCTCAACAAAAGAGGAGACTTGGGCATAGAGGCATCCATGGGATAAATGCTACAACAAGAATCTAGGCTTTATCCCTCTAGTTACCTTACGAGTTATCTGGAAGGGAAGAAATAGAAAGGTTTTCAAGGAATAGAATTTTCTTTTAGTAAAATCAAGGACATTTGTCTCCAAACCCTAAGTTTTTTTATAAACGATTGTCCTATCAATATTTTTGGACGATTTAGGAGGCGTAATTGATATTTCGACATTTATAAACTTTTGTATATGGGTCCTCACAAAGACAGACTTGAGTCTTGTAATCACCTCCTCCTCGGTTGCCCTTTATCTTACAAACTCTGGTCCATGGTTTTGGGTCTCTTAGGCTTATCTTGGGTGATGGCAGCTACGACCAGTTTTGAATTGTTGGCTTGGGAGGGTATCAGCAGCAGGGAAAAAAGCTATTTGAATCATTCCTCTCACTATATTTTGGGTTATCTGGAAAGAATGCAATAATCGAGCTTTTGAGGGGAAGAAAGTTGACTTTAATACCATCAAAGACAATTGGTTTTATTATTTTGATTCTAGTGTTTTAGGGCACAACCTTAATTGTATGGATGATTTTGGGTACATTGTATATATGCTAATTGACATATAAAATTTTGTACATGGGCAGTGCCCTTCTTGGCACCTCATTAATATACAAACCTCACACTTTTATTTCCCAAGAAAAAAGACTTTTGTATATGGGTTGGACCATCTTCCTACCTATATATATAATATTAATTGTTACTCTCAAAACAATTAAAAAAGATATAAACAAGGTCGGCAGGTATTGTTAGATGACATAGACAAGCTTTACCAGTACCCACTCTATGCCAGTTACGAATGTAGACTTTGTTTTGTGATAGAAGAAGTATTACTAAGAGGAGAAGCAGAATACGACATCATCCCAGAACCTTCAATTAGAAGATTCGAAAAAAGAAACACGAGAAGCATATAGTATAACAAGAAAGAAGAAAAACTGAATACATTATTTTTTACTTATACCAACCACAAGACCCTTTGAATTTACGCGATTACCTGCCTGTTAGGGTCCCTAGTGATGGATCTCGTTATGGGACAATGAACAACAAAATAGTAAGAAGAGAAACATTCTTTTTGGTTCTTCTGTCTTTACCTATTTTTAGATTTAGATTAAAATTTAAGGGTTCATTTGAGAGAGAGAAAACCATATAATCTATAGAGAAGTAAGGAAATACTCTACTTGAAATAATTCTTCATAGATATCTGTCCTTGAAGAAGACAGAATGTTTTAGCATACAAGTGCAGTTACCCACAGCTGTTAATTCTGGAAATAATTTTCATGAATTGCCTACTCTGCGCCTCTTGCCTTTAAAAGGTTTATTCTCCCATATTACACATAATTTAACACTTACCTCACTTATTACCTTGTATACACATAATAAAACCTACATAATTAATACATCTAATATTTTATTTTTTATTTTTTCTCTGATACACCTTGCAAAAGGAACTATTTAGTTGTTCCTAACACTGCCCAAACAGGATGGTAGGAGCGAGTTTGGTTGTTGTTCCTGACACTGCCCAAACAGGGCGGTAGGAGTGAGTGGGGTCATCTTTCGAAGCAGTTATAAATAAAGTGAGCTAAACATCCTCTAAAAATGATAATTTGGAAAAACCATATGATGAAATGACTATCAACTGGCAAGGATGACTTAGGAAAGCAACAAAACCCAGTATTACAATTAGACTTGCACAAGGAAATTAGTTTATAAACCCTAATATAGCACTAGAATGTCCCAGAATTCTTAATAAAAGGTGAAAGAATGTTTTACAATCATAAAAAAATTATCCAAAAATTGGAAACAGGATGCTCAAGAAACTAGCTTGCCTGTACTAGCGAGGACTTGTACCGCAACTTAAATTTTGGGAAGGCATGCCGATTTAGTGCAGGAGATATCTGGACAAGGATGGCAGAGAATCTATTATCTTCCTTCAACCAATCAACATAAGCAAGAGCATCTTTTGATGGCCCACTGTACTGCACAGAGACAAAGAATGTCAGAAGGAAATATCAAGAGACATGCTGAAAAAACAAAGAAAATAACAAAGCAAAGAAAATAACTAATCTTGAGGTGGTACCGTTGTAGTTAATAATCTAATATACTAATTAATGCATGCCATACCTTTTGGGAGCAAGCAGGGAAGAAAAGGCAAAAGTTTTCCATTAAAAACAGCCAAGTTTTAACAATTTTTTTTTTTCGAAATAAAAAATATAAAGTATTATTCACAAGGTACCAAAACCGGGAGTACCACCCATGTACAAAATCTCTACAAAAAATTTAGAGCATCAATGACTTCCCCAAAATTCTCATCATTAATGATATCATGACCAAGCACAATTGTCCCAAACAGGTGTATCCATCTATCCATTAATCTATTAGAACTACTCTCTATGCTATCAAAAGTACTTCTATTCTGTTCTTTTCAAATAACTCAAAAAAGGGTTAAAGGGACAAGATTAGCAATGTTTCTTTTTATATATAAACCATCCCAAGCCCAAATCTCTCCCCCAACTGAACCCAAAATTACCCAATTGATACCTAACCACCCATAAATCCCGCACCATAGTTTAGAAATAGTAGGACACCATAGTAGAAGATGATTGCAAGTTTCCACAGCTTTTAAACAGCAATAGCAACCATTTGCAATAATTCTGCCTTTACTTTTCAACCTGTCCAAAGTAAGGATTTTTTCCCAGCAAGCCTCCCAAGCAAAAAAAGCAATGCGTGGAGGAATTTTAGTCTTCCAAATCAGCTTAGCAGGAAATAGTCTTCTGTTTTCAGTACCCATCTCGTGTAAGAACTTATAGTATGAAGTGATCGAAAATATTCCATTTTTTTTCCAGATTCCACACCACCTGATCATCACTATCCGACACCTGTGCAGATTCAAGAGTAGACATCAAGTCTTCAAACTCTTTAACCTCCCAATCATTCAAGTTCCTCTTAGTATTAATTAACCAAACCATGTTCCCGTTAACAACCCTGTAAGCCTCAAAGCATTATGCAGTTTCTGCACGGTAGTTAAACAATCTAATGTGGTAAAACAGTCATACCCTACTTCAAAATGGAAAGAAGGAAAATACGAAAAGCACAGGGTCTGTCAAGAATATAAATGTCTTTCATGTGCTTGCAGAATTTGAAAATCACCATAAGCTATTTGATAATCTCTTAAGATTCTTGTTCTAAGGCTTCTTACCAAATTCAATAAAATATTAATCAATCCCAGTCCACAGATGAGCAAACGGATCATGTAACTGGAGGAGAAGAGAGAGCTTGTTAATTGGCACCCCAACTGTCTCCCAAGGCAACTAGTCACGAGAGTGGAAAACATATCACTCCTTTTGCTTAAAAGTTAAATTTGAGTGTACAAGGCAGCAAAGAAGCATGAAGTAATCTGCTTTACCTCGTTCTATTTAAGAAATGATTAAATGAAATGTATGTATTAAAATCTCAAATGCGGAAGCGTAATAAAAATTTTGATTAACATCCCTTACACAATAACCAAAACGTACTCAAAACATGAAGGAACAACTAACTAAAAGAGATACTCAAAATAAGAACTATAAATATAATTATAAAGTCTTTAGGCGTCCTCTTCACCGTCTTCCTGCGGAACGGGCTCGGGAACAACGTCTTCCTGATCTGAAATGGTTAAATAAGGAATGAGTTACACCAGCCCAGTAAAGACATCACACTATCTCACCGCCACGGAAGTAAATGTGGGTAGAAAACAAAAATGACCAATGGAGCATAATTTATAACAAACTCGTTTATTAACATAAAAACCTTTACTGTCTACTTATCTCGGTGAGATCCATGAAAACAACATATGAAAGCGATAACATTATCATCATCATGAAATCATATAGACTTTATAACATAACACTTACCACGCCTTTGCATTTCAATTATTAAACCACATATTTTCCTTTTTTACCAGTCTACTAGTATCCATGGGGATCCATAGGGGGTCCCCGCTACCCGTGAACCATTAACATTAATAACCTGATTTCAAGGCCGTCCCCATACCCCGTCCGGTATGAGCGCCAAAACACATAAGCTCTCCATACCCCATCCGATATGAGAGACCACGTTCCCGGTAGGGTTCCCTACGGACCTGGTCCGTCCACCATCTTCCAGGATATCTAGTCAGGCTGTCCACATTATCCATTTTGCCTTTTTCCTTGATCTCAATCATCCAATCATACACAACATGTAAACCAGTAATTGACACCAAACAAGACAACACAGTATCGGGTTCTCGGGTTGAATTCGGCCAAACTTGCATTGGTCCCTGCGATAAAAAAACCCTAGGGCTCTCGGTGGGCCAAAAAGTCACGAAAAACCGAGACTTACCGGCGGCGGTGCTCTCGGGTGCGGCGGCTCCTCCGACGTGAGTCGCGTTTTGATGTTTGGCTCCGATCAACCTGTAGAGAAAAGAACGGTGATCACAGTGGTATAAAATTTGCATCGAACGGAGGCCGAGAAGGGCCTCATCGGAGGCAAAAACAGATGGGAGTCGCGGCGGCGCTGCTGGACTTCGGCGGGGTTTTCCGGCCGTTTGGCCGGTGGCGGTTTGACAATAGGCGGATTCACCATCGAAAAACGAGCCAGGGAGAGAAAATTTACCTCGATTGGCGGTCGGAAACTTCTCCGGTGCGGCGGCAGGTGGCGGCGGCCGGCTCCTCCGGCGTTTGGTTCTTCTTCTCCAGCGAGGCACTGGCGGCTAGGGTTTTGTGGTCAGGTGTGGGTGGGGTTATTTATACCCTTTACCTTTTAATCTCAACCGTTCATCAAGATTAAATCTGAACCGTCCGATCGCGATTTAATTGTGATTAAATCTGCGCCGTCCATCGCGATGCGATCTGGGCCGTCCGTGCCTGATTGAATCTGAGCCGTCCGTACGCGTGAATCTGGGCCGTCCATGCGCACGTTTGATCTGGGTCGTCCGTGCGCGCAGGAACGAATCTGGGCTGTCCGATCGCGCGCACGCGGATCGCACACGTGGCTCGTCCCGTGTCAGCGTTTCCTCGCTACGCGGCGTGTCTTGGTTGGCCGGAGCTGCTGACCGGGCTGCTGACGTGGCTGCTGACGTGGCAAAACTTTTCTAAATTTCGTTTTAACCCCCGATTTCTGATTTTCTTTTCAAAAACACCCCCTAAATCGAAATTTTCACCCCTTTTTCCCAAAATCAATTTCAATTAAATCCAAATAATATTTTTACCCAATTTTATCATTTTTATTTTTTTTATTTTTATTAAATTAAATTAAATTAAAATATAAAAAATTCAAATACAAAAAAAGAAAATAAATAAAAATAATATAAAAAAAAATATTTTGGGTGTTACATGGAGGAGAAGAGAGAAAGCTTGTTAATTGGCACCCCAACTGTCTCCCAAGGCAACAAGTCACGAGAGTGGAGAACATATCACTCCTTTTGCTTAAAAGTTAAATTTGAGTGTACAAGGCAGCACAAAAGCATGAAGTAATCTGCTTTACCTCGTTCTATTTAAGAAAGGATTACTTGATGGAGTCAAGCTTTGAAAAGGGTTACCTGATAGATTTCATGCTTATAAAATGGATACTAAGCTGAAGCAAACACCTTTCATCTCTAACCCAATAATTTCTTCTTCTCTTCTTCCCAAAACCCAAACTCACCAACAAACCCACTGAAAAAACGGGTCGGCCTTATCTTTCCTGCGATTAACAAAACTATGAACTCGGTAAACTCCAGACGATTCATACTCATTGGAAGAAAATCCTTTGACGTTGTTTGTGAAGGCAAGAAACTCGATAGTCTAAGGATTAGCGAAAATGGAAGAGGAAATCGATTATCTATCTCCCTCAACAAAACTGAAGTCGCATGGATAGTGGACGCATTGAATGAATTTTTTTGGAACAAGGGAGGGGCCTCTTGGGGTAAGAACCTCAAAAATAGACATCACCACCTGTATTTCGTCATGTTATGGAACTGGCGTGGCAGAGTTCTGGTGCTTTTGGAGGAAATGGAAAACCATACAAAAAGGATATTCATTCCAGATGGATATGAAGTCGGAGAAAGACAACATAAATTCTCAATGTTCGAGTTGGCCTAAGTATCTCTGGTTAACCCTTTCAAGAAGAAGACGGAGAAAGACAACATAAATTCTCAATCTGTTTCGAATCCCACAAAACCCTCCGCACTCAGTATTGGCTGCCTGATTTGCCAATGCAGCTTCCAAATCCCCGTAGCAGTGATTGAGAAAAAATCATTTGCGACGGTGATACTGTCCTCCAACTCGGGTCCTCCTCTGGTCACGACGGTTCCACCCGCCCCGAAAGCTTGCTCCAAAAAGTTGCAAATTCAAAATGGTTCTCACACAAGAACTGCCTCTGCCGTCACTGAAAGCCGCAACCAACGTTTCTTGTCCCGTGAGTTAAAAGCAGCAGAAAAAGAAAATTTTGAATGGGCCCCTTCAGCAAAAAGAAAAATTTATGAAGTCCAGGTTGTTTTGGGCTGAGAAAGAAAAATGGACAGACCAAGCTGGACCAAGTAAGCCCATTTGGACACATCCCAGCCCAAAAAAGAAGATGAAAAAGTGACATGGGAATGGAGGGTAAAGAAAAGAAGCCCCCCCCCCCCCCCCCGGTTTTGCAGACACTCACACCCGAGACCATGTCTTCTTCATTTTCTTACTGTGATAGGCAACTAAATGGAGATATAGCAGCAACAGTAATTACCTCAAATGAGTGGTCAGCAGAAACTTTCTCCAATGACAGATTGCTAATTAGCCTGGAAAATGAGAAACCCCCCACTGTCAGGTATGGAATTGGTTCCAGTTCATCAAGAGTCTTCTCTCCCTCCTTTACAATTCTTTAAAGTTGACAACTTGGTAGAAGTTATCAGCTCTCTTGACAGAATACTCAAAGGAAAGCAGTCTTATGACGTTCAAATACTCTCCGATTGGATTTTAGATAATGTGCACTGCATCAGCACCTCTCTAGGTGTCTCCTACCTTGATAGTGACAATGGAATACAGCCATATTTTACTGACTTGGAAGAACATGTTATTGATCATTTTAAGGGCAGACTATTAACATGTGGAAGTAAAAAGAAACAAAAAGTGGGTGGCTCAAGAGAACTCAAGAGACTACAGACAACTATAAACTAAGAGGGAAGGAACAACAAGAGCAAGGGTAGCGGGGGGAATTCAACTCTTTCATGATGTTAGACAAAATTCTATCTTAGAATGTTAGGGGATTAAATGACGCCCGCAAAAGAGAAGTCATAAGGGGCCGCCTTAACAGATGGAAACCATCCATAATATGTCTTCAAGAATCAAAGTTGAGTGAGGTCAACGAGAAGATAATCAGAAGTATCTGGAGCTTTAAAGATACTGGTTGGTGCTCTCTGCCTGCTAAAAGGGTGCTGCCGGTGGTATCATTATTATGTGGAGAAAAGACAAAATCCTATACCATTCTTTCATGCTTGATGATGCATCTCTTTCTTGTCTTTTCTCTAATTTATCCAACGGAGACAACTAGTATTTCTCTGGTGTTTATTGCTGAGGCAACTCCTCTGAACGAAACCTGCTGAATGTGGAATTGGAAAAAATTAAATCCTCTTAGGGGTGTAAAGGAATCATTGGTGGTAACTTTAATATGATTCTAAGAAGGTCGGAGAGATCCGGAAATCATTCATCAGATTCTGAAATTGAAGACTTTCTCTCTTATCATCAACAATATGGATTTAATTGATTTACCACTAGCTGGTGGGAAATGGACCTGGAGCACCTTGAGAGATCAGCCATCATTCTCCAGAATTGACAGATTTCTCATTTCAGCTGATCTCTTATCATCTGTTCCGAACATAATTCAAAAACTCATTTTTAGACCCATCTCGGATCATTTTCCCATCATGCTTGTTTCAGATGGTATCAAATGGGGACCAGTCCTTTTTCGTCTTGACAATAAATGACTCAAGCATGAAAAATTCAAATCACTAGTGACTAACACATGGAGAAACACTCTTGTTAGGGGTACAGCTACCTACAAAGTTGCTCAAAAGTTGAAGATCTTAGACGCAGAAATTAAAAATTGGGCCGAAGTCACTGCTAAGCAAGATGAAGAAGACTTTTCAGTATTATTGATGAAATTGATAATCTTGACAGGTTGGAAGCTGAAAACACTTATCCCCATCAAGACAAGAGAACGAAGCAATCTGAAAATTCATCTGGCACATAAACTTCATCTAGAAGTAATTTCTTAGATAAAAATCTAGAGAAAAATGGCTCAAAAAAAGGGTTAAGAACACAAAATATTTTCACATGTTGGCCAATTACCGGAGAAGGATCAACTTCATTGATGAACTCAACATTGATGGGCACATTCTCAAATGCAATAATGAATTGAGAGATGGGGCAAGTGAGTACTTTCATAAGTTATATACTAAAAATTCTTTCTCTCGCCCTCGTCTTGATGATCTTCATTTTAATAATATTAATAATGGTGACCGAAATCTACTAGAAATGAAATTCACTAAGACAGAAATTTATGACTACATTCAAGATTGTGATGGCAATAAAGTCCTAGGGCCATATAATTTCAATCTCAAATTCATTCAATCTTTTTGAGATGTCATTAAACAAGACATCATGAATTTCTTTAATGATTTTTATAATCATGGTTCCTTTGTAAGATCACTCAATTTTAATTTTCTTGCTATGATCTCAAAGAAGACTAATATGGAGAATATTAGAGACTTTTGTCCTATTAGTTTCATTGGGTGCATCTATAAATTACTATCTAAGGTTTCTGCCTAAAAGATTATCTACAATTCTTCACAAGATAATTGGCGACTCATAGAATACTTTTATTTATGGTAGACAAATTTCATATGCTATTTTTATCGCAAATGAAACGGTCGATGAGGTCATTAGGAACAACAAACAAGGTGTTTTATACAAACTTGATATTAAGAAAACCTTTGATCATGTAAATTGAGACTTCATTGATCATATGTTGGAAAGATGTGGTTTCGGGACAAAATGGAGATGTTGGATTATAACATGCATACTACTACTAGCTTTGCAGTCATTGTGAATGGTGGCCCTTCTAACTTTTTCACTGCTTTGAGAAGTTTAAGGCAAGGTGACCCACTATCTCTTTTCCTTTTCATTATTGTTATGGAGGCTTTGAATAAATTACTTGATAGGGCCAAACAACTTAAACTGCTTTAAGGAATTTCTATGGGACACAGGGGCAATCAAATTGAATTAACACATCTATTTTTCGCGGATGACGCTCTCATTTTCTGTCATCTTGACATCTGCTCATTCATTTTAATGGAATGCACTTTATTATGTTTCTAAGTGGTTTTTAGTGTAAAAATCAATCTTCACAAATCTGAATTGATGATGAAGGGTTCTCAATCTGGTAAATCCCCGACGCAGATTTTGGGTTGCAAAGTTTCTCAATTACCCATCTCATACCTTGGTGCTCCCCTTGGGGTCAAATACAAAGATAAAAAATATTAGGATCCGATCATTGATATGTTTCAAAACCGACTTGCTAACTGGAAGAGGAAATTCCTATCAAAGAGAAGACGATTAACTCTCATTAAAAGCACCCTATCTAATCTCCCTATTTATCTCTTTTCGATATTCAACATTTCAACTTGTGTTGCCAACACATTATAATCCATTCAGTGCAACTTTCTCTGGGGAGATGATGATAGTAATAATAGGAAAACCTACCTTGTAAACTAGAAAGAAATCAAGAAATCTATTAAAGATGGTGGTTTGGGCTTGAGATCTATAACAACACTTAACAAGGCCCTTCTTGGAAAATGGATTTGGAGATTCTGGAACGAAAATAATAGCCTATGGAAATCAATCATATTGTGCAAATGGTTCAACAGTGACTATCATGATCAATCTAGAATTAAAAATAGCACATTTGGTTCGAACCTTTGGAAGAACATTTGGAAACTAAACAACATTATTCTATAACACTCTAGTTGAGTTATTGGGAAGGGCAACAAAATAAGATTTTGGTTTGACATTTGGCATGACAAGTCTACTCTTTAAATAATATTCTCTCTTATTATGTTATTGCTAGGAACAAAAATATTTTGATTAAAAATATTACGGTTCTTAACAATCAGGACTTTTGGTAGGTGTTAGTATTCAGAAACTTACAAGATTGTGAGTTAGAGGAATATTTATCCTTACTACATACTCTATATTCAATTCAAGTCTATGACAGGGAGGACAATATAAAATGGTTACTTTCCAAAAATGGTACTTTTATTGTCAGATTTCTCTACAACCACTTGACGGGCAATTTTAATCAAGACAACATTAGCTTCCCTTCCAACATAATATAGAAATTGGGTGCTACTCCGAGAATTTTATTTTTTGCTTGGGAAGCTACAAAAGGCCGCATTCTTACCTTTGACAACCTAATAAAAAGAGGTTTCACGATTGCCAATAGATGTTTCCTATGTAAAAATAATTTAAAAACCTGTAACCACTTACTTTTAGGCTGTTCGGTTTCACAGTACCTATGGAACACCATTATTAGTCTTATGGGGCTGTCTTGGATCATGAACAACAACATTCATGCTAAACTCCTAGCATGGGAAGGCATCAACAGCAAGAGAAAAATGATACGATTAATCCCACTCACCATAATATGGGTCCTTTTGAAAGAGAGAAACAATCACGCTTTTGAAGGAATAGAACTTGATTTTAACAAACTCATTGATTGTTGGTTTCATTATTTTGGTTCTATTATTTTGGGACATGTCTTGATGATTTTGATTCTGTTGTCGATAGTTTAATCAATTTGTAAATACATTATAAATGGGTTGTGCCCCCTTGGCACTTTAACATCAATACAACTTCACACTTTTATTTCAAAAAAAAAATGGTTACTAAGCTTAGGAAACCTAGATTCCACTAGGATATTAAATGAAATCCACCAGAAATTTTAAAAATCTTGAACTCAATGAAGTTGGACTTACATACTTACAGCTTCCTAAAAACTATTCCTAATCCAAAACTGATTCCTAGGCAAACAACTTCTAATGTGCTTAAAACTTCATCACATAAGCTAAATAAAAAGCCTGACCAAACTAATAAAATAAGCATCATAATAAATCCCATTCTATATAGAATCTAAATTCAAACATATCTTAGTACTGTAAACAATTATACTAATAATAGTTCAATTATCCTCCTCCACATGAGGCTCAACTTCCTCTCCCAGGCTTCATTCAATCAACAGTGTAAACTAGCACAAAACATTCAGAAAATACATTGTCACTAACAAACGGAAGTCAGATTTCTGGCCAAGTAAGAAATTCCCACTTTATGTACCATCACGAAAATTCAAACGGTGCCATGAGATCCAGCACTAAAATAACAAAGAATTTAAACACACTCATGGACTCATACACATCCACACGCTACGCTAACCCAGAAAAGAAAATGCCAAAAGGAAAATAGAAGCTTTGATGTAAAGGGGAAAAAAGAACCAGCACCTGGGCATTAATTCCTTGCTCGCTCAGATATATCCGACCACGAATATCCAGGCCCTGGAAGTATACGATAAAGATTTTGAGATTTATGAAACTAACAATCTTTTACATATCCATGTATAACCTAAAATTTCTCCAATATTCTGTTTAAAAGAACCGAATCAGTGTTGCAAGAGTAAAAGCGAAAATAACAAAAGAAAAAAGCGGATAAAAACCTCCATGAAAGAAAGATGCTTGACGACTTCACTCTGAGCGTCTTTAATGAACACAAAACAATAGAAATTCACTACAATAAAGTTATCACCATCACCAGCAACATGTCTCGCAGGCTCCGCTCCACTGCAAAGTGAAAATGTGGCACAATTACAATCTCCATTTCTCTGCTTGGTCTGGAGTAAGAGGAATTGTTTTTGGCGGGTTAGAGCCGGAGAAGGGGGCTTGAATTGCAGGAGAGTGATATTATTACTTCTGTTGAAGGAATAGAATGGTGTTGTGATGCAAGTAGAAGCAGCGGCGGAAAGAAGGGCACCATAACCCTTCATTTATGGTGATTTTTGTGCAGCAGGGCACAGAAATTCCGAGCAGAGGAAATGGTTGGAACTCTCAAGTTACAGAAATAACAGATACGGTATCGAACTCTCACCACTCACCAGTCGCCACCTACATCCTTTTTTTAAGTATTAGTAAGTGTACTTTGCAAAATGAAGTATAACAAATAGTAAGAATTGTTCTCTAAAAAATTCAGTATAGCACAAACTTCAAATGATATAGAATTTTATATATATATTTATATATGTATAATATTTTCATTGTTAGTCAAGAAATGATTATAGAATTAGATTAAACAAGTGGAGTTAAGTTTTAAAAACATATTCTTTTCTTTTTGTTAGAGTTATAATTGGGAAAATACATAGCATGGTTTGATTGAATGTGTTGAATTTAATTAGCTCTAAAGGTGAATTAAAGTCTCAAACATAGTAACTTATTTGCATATTTGAATTTAGTTTAATCATGAAATTTAGTTGAGAAATATAGAACTATTTCTATAAATGAGTAAATAACTTCTACTGAAGGCATAACTTCTCCAGGTTCATCATCTAACATTGATGCTTCGAAAGGTTTTAGATTTCCGACATTGACCATAGAGTATATTTTCATGTAGCTAGGTAACTCTAGTTGACATGCATTATCACCAATCTTTTTAAGGATCTTAAAATGACCATAACAAATAAGCTTCAACTTCTTGCCTTCTCTTTTTAATCTCTCATTTCCAAGTGTAGTCATACTAGATCTCCTATTTGAAATTTGTCTTTCACTCTATGTCGATCATGTCTAGCTTTATATTTTTATTGAGCTTTCTGCAACTGCTTTTATACTTAACCATGGACCATTTGATGCACTCTAAGAACTTTTAAGCCTTCTTGGGACAATTCTTTTTTTGCACTTCCTTTGATGATGACTCAAGTATAAACTCAATATCAAATAGACTTTGTGATAAGTAGCCAAGACAAACTTCAAATGGTGATTTATTAGTGGAGATATGAATCGCTCAGTTAAAGGTAAATTCTAGATATGGTAAACTCTCATCCCAAATCTTCGGGTGTCGAGCATTATACCCCCGTAAAAGATGGACAATGGTCATGTTGATAACTTCAATTTGATCATTAATTTGAGGATGAAAGGATGTACTTTTATTCAACTTTGTATCCATCATAGACTGCAATGATCTCCAAAAACTTCCAAAAAAATGACTATCATGATCTGAAATAATAGAACTTAGTAACCCAAAATGTGTCCAGATATTCTTGAAGAAAAGTTTTGTTGTTTCTTCTCCCGTGATAGCCTTCTTGCATGCTATAAATATTATCATCTTGGAAATCTATCTACTACTATATATAGGTAGTCATATCCTTGTTTAGTAGTTGGTAGACCTCCCATGAAATCTATAGAGATGTTTTTCCATAGTCTATTCAGAACTCTTAATGGTGTGTAAAGCCCAATCTTTCTATTTGTGGCTTTGAAGCACTACATAACACATATTCTTTAACAAAACATTTTACATCTTGTTGCATCCAAGGCCAATAGACATAATGTTGAAGATTTTATACAGTCTTATTTACTCTAAAGTGTTCTGCTATCTTTGAAGTATGAGCCTCTCGCATCCATTATATACGATTTACTTTTCTTGGAATACATAATTGTGATCTTTAGTAGAGTAAGCCATCTTTCAATGTAAACTCTGATCGTTTCTCCATTTTCACCATAGTTATTATATCATAAAAATTTGGATCATGTTCATATATGTTGACATATTCTTTATGTATGTATATTGAATCTCTATTACAGCAGACAAGTAAAGTCCTGTTATTAGTGGCTGAGATAGCATATCTGATGTGAGCATAGACATGGATCAAGTTGGCAGAGAGAATATCTCAATGTCAAGTGGGCTCATTTTATGAGAGAGAGCTAAAAGATTATAACAAGTTTTCTAACTTTTTATTCAAGCGTGGATCAATGAGGAAGATGGGTTTGGACCCATTAAAGATGCCCAAGAAAAGAAGACAATATAGCCATTAACCTAATAGTATAATAGTATATACCATTCACCCCAAGTGCAAGAGGGAAATAAACAAAAAAAAAAAGAAAAAATTTGGCAAGACAAGAAAAAAAAATTCTATTCTTAATCATGTGGGAAATCTTTACAATTAAAGATCAACCAAGAGGAGAAATTACTCATAAATTGCAAACTATCTTGAAAAAGAGGAAAGCTTTTTAAATACCAAATTTTGTGGAAAAGAAAAATACTTGAGAAAGAGAAAAATATCTTGATAGAATCTCTTCTCCTAAATCAGCCACAATTAATTAAGATATTCCCTATTTAAAAAGTTTTTCTCATATGAAAATCATATTTATCATCTTTTAGTTGTAATTTTCTTAATTTTTGTTAGTTTTTTATTCTAGTCTAGATTTAATTTTCTATTAATTTTTACTATTAATTAAGAGATTATTTTTTCTCTCATTATTCGCATAGCCTACTCTATAAATAGACCTTTAATTTAGAGTTGTAAGACAATTCAGAATCTTTAGCTTATTAATAAAATTCATGTATTCTTATTTTAAACTTTTAAGCTTGCAAGAGTGAGTGAGTGGGTCTTCAACTGACTTGTTGTGATAGGAATTGGGATCACTTATCGAGGTAAGTCTCATGGCATTTTTTCAATTCTAGTTCTTTATTTTTTTTTCCAATTACCTTAGTTTTCATTCATCTGTTGAGTCCGAGTCAAGTAGGGAGAGTTTGCTTAGGGTTTTGAGTTTTTGATTGTTGATGTATATATGAAGTTTTGGATTTCATTGTTGATTCCGACTTCCGTACAAGTTAGTATCAGAGCTTAAACTACTGATAAATCTACTATATTTTTGATTTACTATTTATATTTATTTTCTTATATAAAATTAGTACTCGTTACACAAAATTTTTAATTCATTTAGTTTGTTTTTAAGAGTTTTTTACAGTGTTATTATAATTAAAAAAAATTAGAGAGAGATTCTGAAAAAAAAAATCTATAAAAAAAATAGAGAGAAAAAAACAGAGAGCAAAAAAAAAAAGAGATAGGTTTGTGACTCATTGGTTCTTTTTACAATATTACATTTAATATTTTGCATTAGTATTTGCATCACAGAAACTCAAGTGAGCCATAGAGACAACCGTCATTAGGATAGAATAATTAAGTATAATATTTTGATTATATTCATAGGGATTAATCAGATCCTTGACGCTTTAAGTCCATAATTTTCTTTTTCTACTCTTAGTT